GTCCTTGAAGCTACAGTTCTGCTAAGCCGCTGCACTTGGTCCCCTAAACGAAGTTTATCCTCACAAGCATGACTAATGAAATTTCGTGTAGAGCCTATGTCTGCGAAGGCACCCACTTTGCGGCCACCTACATTGACCTCTACCACAAAATGTTCACCCTTAGGACCTCTATTGATCATCGCCCAAGAGTCTCTGGGGTCCTTCCCTGACCACTCAGACTGTAACTCTTCTAGGGACTAAGACACATCTCTCGAACAAAGCGTCGGTGGGTCTAAATGTGTCTGCGGGGCGATGTATGGGTCTAGCCTTGGCCAACGCCTGAAGTGGGGAAGGCAACGTTACCACTTCAGTGCGAGTAAGAGCGGCCAACACTCGTACTGACCCGAGGTGTTTCCCTGCGAAGTGCTCACAAAAGCACTGCCAGGGTTCGATGATAAGCCCACTACTGTTGGAGTGGCTGCCCTCGTTGTGACCTTTTTGCCTCGACAAGTTCTTGACGTGTGGCCATAGTTGCCACAGTTCATGCATGTGCCCCTAGCAACTCGGTCCCTCTACACCTTGTAGTTTAAACCAAGTTTGACCCATGCGGGTGTTCCTTGGTCGCCCTGACCTGCAGACTGGCCTAACTTTTGCTTCCCGGTCCCCCTAGTCTTATCTTTGATGGGCGCCACGACTCCCCCATCCGAAGTCTCACTAGCCCCACCATGCTCTGTCTCATCCCCAAGGTCTGAGAAATCGTCAATTTCAGTCGTCTGACCACCATGGTCGACAAACATTAGTTGACCTTTCTTCTTCCAGTCCTGGGGAAGTCTCTTCTTCCTACCATCTCCCTGACTCTGATGCGCGGACCCAAGCTTTGCCTCTATATCTAAGGCTTTCTTGCTGAAAGAGGCAAGTTATGTTGGTCGACATAGGCCTCATCCACCAGCTTAGTCTTAACTTTTGAAGGCAAACATCTTAAGTAATCTGTGAGGAGTACCTGTTGGTTGTAGCGCACACCAAGTACCACGAGCAAATGTTCTACGGTGTTTGTGATCTCGCAGACATTCTTGTACCTTTTGGCACAAAGATTGTCGGTGGCCTTCTGAGCCCCTTGAGGGTCATGCCACCTATTGCACACAGTCCGTACGAAGTTTTCCAATGTCTGGGTCTGGACCCAGACATCGAAATCCTGACCGTAGCCTTGTTGCTTCACTAAGCCATTTAACCAACGTGTTGTCGATCCCTCTAAAAAGGAGGTAGCAACTCTAACTTCTTGCTCTAGCCTTGTGAGCTTGTGCGTCACATAGGTAGGCACAGTCCTCACCCAGGTATCGAGGTCCTCGTCCTTCTTCCTATTGCCAGAGAAGGGCTTAAGACTCGGCAAAGGAATCTTTGGCATCCACTTCATAGGTTGGATCTGCCTAGGCGGTTGCTGCAGTGGCTGCATAGCCACTGCCACAAGTTGTTGCGTGCTAATTTGAGCCTGTCCAGACAATGGCACTGTAGTTGTCATTGTCCTTGATGGTACAGAAAAAGAAATAAGGACCGGACCACTAGCTATCGGTTGTCCGCTTGAGAGAGGCATGCCATACATAGGCGGGAAGGTTTGCCCTATCGGCGATGGCGTTATTGAAGGACCTGCAACCGAAGGGGAAACTACAGAGAATTGGGGTTGCCTCATGACTCGACGAGGTCCCTGAAGTGCAGCCATAATTCGTTTCTGGCCTGCAAATAGTTCAGCCAACAGTTCCTGCTGAACTACCTGCGTTTCTGCCACACAACGTAGTGA